TCTTAGGGCCATCATGGGATGCATGTGGCCCTCCTGCCTCCCCACCTCCGCCCTCGAAATGACTGCTTTCTACCATCTGGGCCATTCCCGTGTGCTAGAGATAAGGAAAATTGAGACCCATAGTATTTCAATGTTTGAAATTTCTTAACATGCTTCAGATTTCCACGTCTACCTGGTGAAAAAAGCTGCTACCAGAGCAGAACTGCCCCCTTAAATCTGCATCCGCTGTTGCAGAGACAATCACAGCACCTCACGTGTGAATATTCTCATGTTAAAGTGATTAAAACTACCCCTCATAATAGTCTCTTAGATTGAGCAAAGGAAAGGGTGAGACTGAGAGTCTAAATGATAGGAGGGGCCCCAGAGGAGGTGACGGGAAGAGAATGTTAGACAAACAGACCTTTTATGTAAGTCTTCTCCTTACAGACTGTGTGTCTGTCCTGTCTTACAGGGCTCACTCTTACAGGCGGAGTTGGCTCATCTAGTGATTTCAGACTGATGGGAAGCATGGCCCAATGAGCTTTTAGGGAATTGCTATTCAAGTAGTCCCAATACCAAATAACCAGTGGCAACTGGTAATAAAGTCTATCTTTGAAAGTTACTTTTAGCTCTAGGGGACCTGAAAACAACCGAATTTGGACTAAGCTATCAAAAGCAGTTGTCGTAACAAATATATGTAAAATAAATATATTTTATAATCATTTGTGGCTCCAAGATTTCTAAAGATGTTGTGCCTTCTGGTTGTTGTGTGAGAAGCAGCAGCATTGTTTATTTTGTCTCCTTTCTACATAAGCACCCAGCCCCCATCTAACGCATTCTGTAGGTAAAATGAGTCATAATAGTAAAATAAGAGAAACCTGCTTAAACTGAGCTTTTCATTATGAAATGAATGGTGCCAATCTTGGTTTGGCTGCTGGGAGGGGCAATATTATTAGAAGCTCTTGATAAGGTGTGACAAATGAGAACAGAAGAGGTTTTCTACTGTTTCTGAGTAGTGTCAGGCAGGACTGTCATGGTTTTCTGAATTTCTGTTGCCCAAGACCCTGAGGGTGAAGAATCTGTGTTATTGACCTTCACACCGCTTGGACATAATGTAAGGATTTTGGAGCCATCACAGAATTAGAAACTGTTTAGTCTAACCCCATCCTACACCTGGGGAAACTGAAAGCCAGGGAAATGAGAAATGTTGGCGTCATGATTTGTTCTGGCAGAAAGGAGGATTTGAATCTGACTTTCTGACTTCTAGATCTCACCGTTTAACAATTTCTCTCTCTCTCTCTCTCATTCCATTTGTCTGGGATGCTTCTGATTTATGGGCTTCATAATAATGCTCTAGGTCTTTGTCCTTGTGTCTCAGAACAGAAGAAATACTGTTGACTTAATTATATAACATCCCCTCCCTTCCCATAACTAATAAGGGAAAAGAGTAGAAATACAGGTTTTCCTGGATGTATGTAGTAATCTGATGACTGCTCTGCTCAAGGCCTGACAGAATTTCAGAACAGAGTACATTATAGAAATAACAAGTACTTACAAAGTAAAGGGTTTGAATCAGTGTGATCAACCTTTCCAGGACTGGAAGGGGAAGCTGACACAGGCTTCCTAGCTTCTGGCACTGCCATGTGACTGCTAGCAAGGAAGGTGAGATCTCAAGTAATGCCTCACAGAGGGTATCTGTGGGGGAGCTCTGCTAGATTAAATAAGACACATGTGTTTTGTGATGTAAATTCCACTGTGAAATGATCACTGTGTGAACTGGTTAAGTTGGTGGCTGGGATCAGGTAAATGGTGGGCTGGGGATTGAGTGAAGCCCCCTTTTTGCATTTCAATCTCCAGGCCTCACTGCGCCAGGCTGCTCAGCAGCTGACTTGGGCCCTCTCTGCTGGCCCCATTCTCTTCCTATCCTCTCTTTCATATTCAGGCTGAGCATCCCTAATCCAAAATCGGAAATCCAAAGTGCTCCAGAGTCTGAAAACTTTTGAATGCTGACCTGATGCCATGAGTAGAAAATTCCACACCTGACCTCACGTGACAGGTTGCAGCCAAAATGTAGGACACTGGTAAATTGTGTAAAATCAAAACTTTAAAAATATTTAAAAGATTGTATAAAACTACCTTCAGGCTATGTGTATTAGGTATATATGAAACACAGATGAATTTTCTATTTAGACTTGTGTCCCATCCCAAAATACTCACTATGTATATTACAAAATCGGAAATTTGAAATACTTGTGGTCCTAAGCATTTTGGATAAGGCATATTCAACTTTGTGTGTGTGTGTGTGTGTTTTCAGAGCCAAGTCAATAGTAACATAAAGAGTCTTGGGTTAATATGCTTTTGCATGTATCCCTAATTATGTAAAATAAATCATTGAGGAAGTAATATTGGATGTGTCTAATTTCCTATTGCAGACTCTTTTTCAGGACCAGGTCTTTCTATATGCTAACATATGCTCACATCAATCATTTATTACCCTTCACAATTAAATACAACACTATAGATTCTCAAGACAATTCACACTGAGCTGGATGTTTTTCTTTTCGGAGAAGAAGGGAAAGAGGCTGGCGGTGGTTGGAGGTGGGGCACATGTACTGACTCTTTCACCACTCTACTTGGTCTGTCTGACATTAAGTGGTGGTGGGGGATGGCCTCTTCACATCACCTCTGTGCCTTGGACAGCTCTTCTCATTTGATACCACCTCACAGAGACCTATGCTTCTACCTTGCTGTGTCCATCTGTACACCACATCTAAATAGACAAAGGGGCAGGGCATATGCTCTCAGATCCTGCTTCCTGTCTGTCAGCCTTAAGGACAGGTCTCTGAGAATGCATTAGGTATTTTAAGGTTGGTTCTGAAGCCGAGCCAACTGGTCTGCAGGGTAATGAAACCTTTGACCTTGGCCTCATTAGCTCCATTCTCTTACCTACTGAGCTCACCACTGAAATAACACTTGAGAGCACAGCTCATTACTACCTATGCACTGGCATATCTGTATTTACTTGGTTTGAGAGTAGTTCTCGGAGTAAGACAGCTTTCTCTATTGATGAGCTCTGGCAAATGAGAACAACAAACATACCTACTTATCAGTCAAATCAGGCCAAGGAGAAAGGAGGAAAATTTATGATAAGGTGCATCCACATGCCTCCAATCATATTTTGGAATAAAATGGGGACAGAAATTCCAAATGGGATTTTTTTTTTTTTTTTTTTAAATAATAAGAAAAGCGAGGGACGCCCATCACACTCTGTATCTGAAGGGGCAGACTAGGTAATGTAATTCTTGACAGTGTCAAGCTTCAGTAAACCCACCTCCTCTTTTCTAGAGTGACTGTTGGCTATTATGCAGTCCGGAAATGAACACAGCAAGAAGAGCAAAAAGAACATTAAAAACTGAATTGGGGGAGGGAGAAGCTGCTAAATTTAGCAGAGGTAAGGCCCGGGGAAGAAACAATGAGAGAAAGATGCAGGGACTGTGCCAGAAATGCTCGTTTATTATTCTCCATCATGGAAGTGAGGGGACTTGCTGTGAGATGCTGGCACAAGGAGGCCACGTGAGCCACCTGGACTCAGGCTCTCTTTGGTGAAGTGTTAAGAAAACACAAAACTTACAAAAATATTAGCCCTGCCCTTGGAGATGATCAATCAATTTAAGAAAATTCCCCAAGGGGAGTTAAGGCCCTGGAAATCTGGTCCTAAGGAAAGCACAGTGAAAAAGCACCACTGTACATTTAGGAGTGTTGCATGGTCTACCTGGCAGGAGAATATAGACACAGTGGTCCTCAGAGGTGAAACTCAGCTCTTCTGTGGAATCAGGCTGAAAGCAGCGCTTTTATACCAAATTCCTGTACCTGAACACCTGCTATCAAACTACGTCCAGGACCACAGTTCCCCCAGTGCCTTCCCATTGTCCATCAGTGCTTTTATGATTCCTGTGAATCACAACAGGAGCAGCAGCTGGGACATCAGCAAGAAGCCCTGGCACTGAGCACAGGCCAATAAACTCCCCTAAGCTTGATGAAGAAGCCCCAACCCAACACTGAGTCCACATGGTCTGGGTTTTTTTCTTTCCTGTTTCATTACCTATTGTTCAAAAATCTTGATCATTTTCCCCAAGACTTTCCTTACTAGCCTGGAAATCCCAGTGCTCCACTCTCTGGTTCTAGTTTCACCTCCTTGGATAAGCTTTGCAAAGGCAAGATGTTGATCACTATTGTAGAGGGTGGTGGCTTGCAGGGGTCTATGTATTTAATTTGGTCTATTTGGAATACATATGTAGGTGCGTGTACATGTATTTTTTTTTGTGTGTGTGTGTCTGTGTGTGTGTATCTGCGTGTATACTATTTAAATGTGGTGAACAGGTGGACACAACAAGGTAGGAGCATAGGTCTCTGTGAGGTAGTATCAAATGAGTTGTCCAAGGCACAGAGGTGATGTGAAGAGGCCATCCCTCACCATTTCACATTTATATACACACATATATATGTATATATATTTGAAAATTTTCATAATAAAAAGGTGGGGTGGGCACAGCACCCGCATTATCTAACTGCTGCATTTCAAGGTCTAGCCCCACTCTTAGTCATTTACTCTGCCTGGAATGTTCTCCACTTCATCATTGCTTATTTAGAACCCTGTTGGACCTTCAAGGAATCCTCCAGAGAGTCCTTCTTTATGAAGCTGACTTTGCTTCCTGTACTTGGACATAACCTCCCCTTCTATTCTATGTCTCTATGGTGTCTACTGTTATAATTGGACTTTTATTCTCATGTGTACATTTGTCTCATGGCTTCAATTAGATTGTGAGCCTCAGAGAGTCAACTCCATCACATCTTATTTATCTAGGCATTTCCCCCAGTGCCTTCCACATTGTAGACACTCAATAAATATTTGTTGACTGAAAAATGACTTTGCATGAATAAGAACAGCTAATAAAGTTAACAATTAAACCCCAGGGGTTTGTCTAAACCTCAGGTAAGGAAAGAGCAGCCTTGTCCAGTACCTTCTTCGTGGTTCTGATGCAGTAGGACCTCTGGCTGAGTGTGGATAGAGTTTCCAGGGTGGAAGAATGGTGAGAAAAGAATCCGAGGTTTCCTCTGCTTCAGGATATGCTGAAGGAGTTCATAGAGCACATCACCTGGGAAGAAAAGAAATGGGAGAGAGATGGCATACTTATTCCACTGCTGCTGACTGGGCTGAAGCTACGTGCCTGGCACTTCGGTACGGACATGCGGTAAAAATAATGGGCATGCCAAGTGTCCTCGTGGAGCTCACAGGGACAGGACACAGCCCTTGAAACTCAAGACATCAGAACCATGTGATTTTTTAAAAATTAAACATTTTTGATTATGAAAGCAATATATAAGAATAGTTTTAAAAAATGTGCAAAACCAGAAAGGAAACAAAACCACCTAGATTTCCATTACGAAGTCAGAGAAGCCCTGGTAATGATGTCTACCGTTATGTAGTGAGGATCTGGTTTTAGTAGTTAGAAACCACTTTTTCCCCTCTACCTTAGGTTTTGAGGATGTTCCCACATTACTGAATTGCTTTAGGAGCTGGCTAATGATAGCCTATTGGAGTAACATCCCAGACATTAGGGGGAATTTAAATTTCCCCAACTTAATTCCTATTATTTTTGTGAAATTATCCTCTTTTACATATCTCTTTGTTTGTACTTCAGATTATTCAAAGAATTACAAAGTCATTATGTATGAACATATTTTATGTTCCAATGACAACTCAGATTCTTTACAGAAACCTTCCCAACAGAGACAAATATGCCTTTCTAATTGACTCCAACCCTGGGCAGGAAGAGAATAAAAATGAACAAAATTCACAAGTCCGGTCAGAGGTGCTAACTATTGACGATGCTCTATAAGGAACTGGCACAGTCTGGGATGCTTCCCTCCTTTAAAAATACATATAGGCATTATGCCAAGGTTCTACAAGCTCTAGAGAATCATCTTAAGATGTCAGCCGCTGGCAGAAGATGGTGGGGGCTGGTTTGAGCGGAGGCCCCTCTGTTCTGATATAGTTGGTATTTGAAGTGTCCACTGAATAGTTAATTAGCAAAGTAACTGTCATGGTCTGGTCTACCCCTTTGGCTTAAATCCAAGTTCAAAATGCAGGTGGGTGCTTCAAAACCTTATAAGGATGGGTGATTAATCTTTAAAATGCTGTCCCCCCTACGCCCTTCCCTACACAGAGATATGCAGTCAACAATTGTACCAAACAATGGGCCTTTGTTTCTAATTTTAGCCATTTTTTAACAGATACTTTAATTAACAACTTTAACTGCATATTCTGGGCTATAGATATTGCTATATTATTTTTTTCCTCCAAATTTAGCATGTATCTGAATTCCATATTAATTTCTTTCTTTCTGCAAATCTCCACTCCACTGTTTGTACCACATGAAGTTCCATGGCTACCTGATCCCAAGAAATTCCTGGGAGAACCTTTTGACCTTGTTTTTAAAAACTTTGTTCTTTCCTCCACCCTTGAATTTTGGTTGTTAATAGTGTAACTTACTGCCACTACTTACTATTTGGATTAAGAAAAGGCTTCAAAGAGATGAAGATGCCCCGTCTCTTGGGTGTTTCATTAAAAGGAAACAGGCAGGAAAATGCAAAGGTATTCTGACCACACTTTTGGAAATGTCATGGATGAGGGAGGACCTGGCACACGTGGCCATGTTTGAGAGCTGGGAAGGGCTTTGGCACTCATGGACTCCAAATCTAGTAGTCATGGTGATGGCTCTGATGAGATGGGGATGCGCAGCCCAAAATACAGTCCTATTTTAATGATTCGTATTTTAATCTCATATAAAAATAAGTCCCTAATCAACACTTGGGTGGTTTTTTTTTTTTTTTTTGGTTTAGTGTAATGTCTTCCTGAACTTTTCCTAATTTACATGGCCTCACACTTGCTGGGTTTGATCCTGTGGGTTTGATCAATGTTTTATTTCAGTAGTTGCAAACAGAAAATGAAAACATTAAAAAATGTGTTCCTGATGATTACTATTACTAAAAAAAAATGGTCTGTAATTAGTGTATCCATTTTGGAAGGGGAGGCCAGGAAATATAAATTTAGTGTCTGTGAGGGTGTTGGAGGCTGTTCTTGCAGCAAGGCAGCTGAGGTGCAGTGAGGGGCACAGACTGCGGAGGCAGCCGCCTGGGCATCAGGTCACCTTGAGTAAGTCCCAGGGCTTCTCTGCAGAATGAAATTGTAGCACCTATCTCAGATGCTGGCTGTGAGGGTTACATGAGGGAAATGTCTAGAAGTACCTGGAGCAGGGTTAATGTATATTTACCCTCAGGTCTTCCTTGGAGGCTGGCTCCAGGTTGGCAAAGCTCCCTGGTGGGGACCAGAACAGGGGCTGGAGGGGAGGAAGTCACTCTCCTCTGTTCATAAAGGAAGTGAGGCAAGAGAACAGAATGGTTTGGTCTATGCTCTGAAGCTTAGCTGACTGATACTTCTTTAGGCAAGTCTCTTAACCTTTCCAATCCTCAGTTTCCTCATCTAGAAAATGGTAATCAGCATCCACTCTGCAGGACTTTTGGCAGGGTTCCATGGAGTGACGTAGTCAATAACAATAAGCTCAATGCAGCATCAGGCAAAAAGTAAGCGCTCCTAGCTATGGCTATCACCACCACCATCACTCACTCTACATTATTGTTATTAATATTCGTATTCAAGGGGCTTAGATCAGCTTTGTAGACCCCTAAAGATGTCTCACATGGAAAACATTAGAGGAGGATCTGGGTCATGGCTGTGGGCTCCCAGGACCCCACAGCCTGCTTTGCAGGGTCATGCCCACAGTGACACTGACATGTGCTCTGCCTCACACTCTCCCAGGCCTGCTGGCTGGTTGGCTTTGGACTCTCATCCTGGAGCTGGCCAAGAATGCCAGACAGTGAAGCTTCTCCCTGAACATGTAGGAGAAAGCAGGAGGAGGTTGAGCCAAGCAGGACTCTTGCCAGTTTCATACCTAAACTGTGAGCCTATTTTGACTACTGCTAAGATAACAGTCATAAATGCCATCTATTGGGGGTGGCTATCAAGTGAGCATGGACCCAAGTCCCAGGTGGTTGGCCAGAAAAAAATTTAATTTTAAGACTCTAGAGTGTGACCATGACTAGACCAATCCATTCAAAGACACCTTTTCTCAGTAATCAGGATCTTGGTCAGGGAATGTGACTGGATTAGCATAAACATATCACTACCATGGGGGTGTGGGGCAGATGAGCTGTGTAAGAACCATGCGTGTGACTGGTGGTGTGTACCTGTAATGACATGGCATCTTAGGCCTAGAGAGGATTTTAGTGGTTTCTTACATTGACTCAAACTTCTGTTTGGTATGAGTCCCCAGTTACTCTTCCCCTGCCAAGAAGTAGCCTTGGACGAGTATGTCCTGTGATGGGCAGCTGGCCATGGCATAAGCAAACCATATTTGGATGGCTATAGTTGGTAGAAAATTCTGTTGAGTTGGAATCTGGCCATCCCTGTACCTAAGTTCTTAGTCTTGGCTTCTGGAGAACACAAATCATGTGTTTTATCTATAACAGGTTTCTAAATGAAGATGCCCTTCCAACTTTCTCCTGTCCACTGCCCCTTAGCTCTTCCAACACCCAGCCTGTTCTACCAATACACTCTTCAAATCCTCATATACACAGGAGGTCACATCTAAGAAGTATATGAACAAAAAGGCTCTCTGGTATATAGAAGATAATTTTTAAAAGTTATATTCACTAGCCTACTGAAAACAAAGAGCATGAGCCATAGTCTTATATATCTAACTTAGCAAATGACCACTGGCTTAAAGTCAAGTGGCATTTAAAAAAATTCTTTGTGCCTTTGGTTCTTGTAAAATCTTCTCCATCATCCCAGAAAAGATGTAACTATACTAATGCTTTATTGCACTAAGCAATGGAATCCAGGGCTGTAGGTCAAAGGACAATAGCTTTTTATTTGTCCCTCCAAATATCTTTGTGCATACATACATAGTTCATGTACTCATGTGACATGTAGAGGGGGATTTGTCATGAAGTTAGCAAGTTTCGGGGCACTTCACTTGCATAAATCTCTGCAAAGGGTCCTAGACGTATTTGTATCCCCCAAATTATAAGCTTCAGGTCCTAAAATATAGATATTCTTGTGGGTGCCCGCACAAATAGACATAATACACATACCATGTTGACATGTGTATCTTGACATGACAAGCCAGGATGTACTTTGAGAATCCTAGACTCTATTATTTTATTGAAATTTGTTTCAAATGGATAGTAGATAAAGTGAACAATACCACAATAAGTTGTCTTATCAACCTTACCACTGTCTGGAGACCAAGAACGTACAGATGCTACTGAGACGGGGGTGTTAAAATTCATTTAAGTTATTTTTACTTTTAGAGGAAAATACTGGGGCTCTGAAGTGAGGTAGTCCCAAGTTTGAGTCCTGGTTCCTCTGTTGTCAGTTGCATGCCCTTAGGCAAGTTATATTCCTCTTTGAACCTCAGCTGAAGGCTTAGTTCAGTATTTTGTGTAAAACGAGAACAATGCCATGGACTTGGCAGGGCTGTTATGGGAACCAAATTAGATGACATGTACAAAGCACAGGTACCTAACATGATGGATGCTCAGTAGATGGTATCCCTTGGAAGTATAATTGTTAACAGACAAATCTCAAATACTCCCTTTGCTTCAGTGTTTTTGTATTGAAAGCACATGCATAAGTTTCACAAAGTCATTTTCATATGAATGGCATTTTTTTTGGTCCCAGTTGACTAAATGCCGATTCATATAGGCATTTCTAGTTACAGTCATCACTTTCCATGGTTCCCCTCATTCACAGTCATCTCATTAAATCTCTTCTTTGGGTTTTTTCTTTTAGTTTTTAAGCAGTTGCAAGCCCCCCTCCTCTCTTTTTGTCCTCATCCCCTCCAGGTCTTGCTCTCTTTCTCTTGCCCCTCCGTAGTCAAACTTCCTGGACAGGCTACCAACTGTTGCTCTCTCCACTTACTTCTATTCTGGTTTCCCCTTTAACCCTTCCTCCAAAAGGGTCCTCCTGAAATTATCCCTCTGCTATCAAAGTGGTTGGTCCTGGGGAACTGCCTGGCTTCTCTGCAACCTTCAT